TGATAGCTGGAGCCCACCTTAGAACATGGCAAATATTTAGGCACCTGAAGGACAGCTAAGTGATTGTAGTTACACATAAATAGCACTTTACAACTTCCAGTAGTAGCAATTACCAGGGGAAAAAAACCCAACCAAACAAAACACACCAAACTCCAAACAAAACCCACCTCTTTTCAGATAATTATTTATCAAAATTCTGTTTCATTTGTGAATCAGCACATCTTGGGATTACCCTCAAATTGAGATGCCAGTATGTGGGGGCCTACAAGGAAGCTGGGAGGGGGACTTTTTGCAAAGGCCTGTAGTGACAGGACAAGGGGTAACGGGTTTAAATTGAAAGTGGGGAGGTTTAGATTGGATATCAGGAAGAAGTTCTTCACGGAGGGGGTGGTGAGGCACTGGAACAGGTTGCCTGGAGAAGCTGCGGATGCCCCATCCCTGGAAGTGTTCAAGGCCAGGCTGGATGAGGCTTTGAGCAACCTGGTCTAGTGGAAGGTGTCCCTGCCCATGGCAGGGGGGTTGGAACGAGATGGGCTTTAAGGTCTCTTCCGACCCAAACGATTCTGTGATTCTGTGATTCTAACACTTGATAGAACCTGGTTCTCCTCTGCTTATCATTTCTGGTCACAGTCAGATGAATTGCAGCAGTCATCCTTTTGAGGCCTTTACACATTAAGCTTCCAATGCACAAGTCTTTGCAGTGTAAAATGCTGAAGCAATGTAACAGCACAAATAAAAATTTCAGCGTTGAGTAAAATCACACTCAGGTTGAGGCAGTAGCCTCACACCAATGAGACTGAGCACACAAAGCTTTCAAACAAAGCTATATCAATTTCTTCATTTTTGCTGGAAGCTGGACAAAAATACCTGTGACTAACAAACCACTGAGGTCCTTATCTGTGGGATCTCAGGCTATCTGTGCCTATGTGAGCAGATGACTAATAAGGCTGGTGACTACAGAGCTGGTAACAGTCCATGCTTCGGTAGTATTTTCTGATGTAGTATCTTCTCAGGAAGAGACTGTTGTGACCTTTTTCTGTTATGAAGAAAAAATTTCTAATTTACAATATCCCTGACAATTTGCCAATATCCGTGTCCCAGGCTTCGTAAATGCCCTTTTCTTATCTCATGACATCTTGATGAAGTATAGCTGCAAACAAACATTTTGAGAGCTCACAATAAAGAGGCAGCAGCATCAACTGGCACCTCCTGGCAGTTGTTCAGGCAGATGTAGTCACAGCCAGGAGACTATTCTGCTTTGAATAGATGCATTCAGCCCTCGGCCACAGTAGCCGGTTTTTCTTCTGGGGCAATACCTAATGCTGTATTTCCTCCACTTGCAATCAGAGCAAAAGGAGGGCAGGCAGCACCGCCTCTCAGTTGCCTGTCTCCTCTCTAGGTTAATAATCTTCTCTGGGCGCTGTGTGACACTGTTAGTCCTGCAGCTACAGCAGCCTAAGTGCTTTTTATTTGCACTGCTGAGGGCTAAGGTTTCGAGCCTGCTAATGCTGAGTGACAGAATTGGTTTTTAGCTTTTTCCTCTTAAGAAAAACATTCTAGGAAATTGCATAACCTCCTTTGATCCTCTTGATAATTGGAATTTAAGGTTGCAAACCCACCCCTTGAAAAGTTAGTCAAAGCCAACTGCTTACTGTTGAGCAAGGAGCCTGATTTGCTTTCTTGTGCTATGATCTAGCCCTAGATTATATAAATTACAAATTTCTTCTTCCTCCAGGTCCATTCGTCGTTGAATGCAGAATAAAGGTAGAAAAGGGCCAAAGGAAGGTAGTGCATGCAAAGCTGTGAGTCTTAACTTTTGCATCTTGGTTCTGCCAAGGCAACAGCTTTCCCCTGCTCTGTTTTAAAAATTGCATGGCTGCCACAGCTCTGACCTGTTAGCACCGCTACAACCAAAGCCATCAGCAGCTACTCCCCACTGATGTCCTTCCAACAGCACGTGTAAAACATGCTGCTTCTCCATCAATTTCTCACTTGGGAAATCTTCACCTGCTGCCACAGAGGTAACATTCCCAACAGCAGCTCTGGACTGGAGAGGTATGAAGGCTGAGCTCCTGCCTTGTATGCTGGTCTCTTCAGGTGATTCGGATTGAAAACCAAAGTAAAACAAAAGACAACAAAACAAGAAATAGAAGAGACATCAACAACTCGGCACCCATGAATTTGGCATGTTTGTGAGACCAGAAATGGGATAAGCCCAAACACACGGACTGCACAAATCCACCCATGACGCATTGTTTCAGGGTGCTAAAATAAATATGCTTTCATCTAATTAGTCTCAGAAATATTTTTTCAAAATTTCTTTCTTTAGAATGAGGCAGAATGTTGTGTTTGGGCCAACAAGTTATAATAATTTGCAGCACATCAATTCGATTGAAGCCCTTGGGTGGCATCAAGTGGCTGCCCATTTTTAACATGTTAGGATGCGTGGGAGACCTCCTACCAGGCTTTTAGAGGGCAGGTTAATAGTTAACAGCTTGAAGTCAAGTAGGGTGGCAACCCACTCTTTTTTCATGTAAATAAAGCCCACTTTGTATCTGCTTGCCAGTTCACTAATGTCATCTTTATTCTTGAAACTGCTGATATGGAAGTGAAGGGTACCTGAACCGAATGCTGCTAAACATGCTGGTGCAGCAGTACAGTGTTTGTGTCCTGTGGCAAAAAATGTCAAATTCCCCTGAACAACAAAACTTCAAGGCATATCAAGGATGATTTACAGTGCAGGGGTAGCAAGCCTTCTTCCCCCTCTTTCGTCCATTCTCTCCATGGGACAGCATGCTGTTCAGGCTTATCATGATCCCTCTTTGCCTGGGTGCTGGAGGCTGGCTGCTGCAGGAAGAGGTGGGGTAAGAACTGGGGGAAAGGGATGATGGGGAGCGAGACACTGAGCTGAGGCTGCGTTTTGGCAAGGGATGAAGTCTCTGGCTGAAGGGTCGTCACCCCGTTTCTGTGCCTCAGTCTTGTCAGCTGTCGTTTGGGCATAATAATCTTTTAGCGTCTTTTGGACACGTGTGACTTGATGCTTATCCTTACGGAGCGAGCTTTACACACCTTCTACAGATCGCCTCTGCAGATCTAAGGCGAAACAGAAACCCTTGCTTCAGAGAGAACTGGTGAATTAGGAAACCAGAAACGGAGGGAAAACCCACCCCTTCTCAATCCAGATATTTAATGCATGCTGTACTGAGCAAGAAGAGGACGGAACAGCCGGCAGGTTTGTTACCAGTGGCAGAAACTCTGAGTCCGCAAGTATTTGGAGAGCAAACAAAAGCTGCAACAAATCATCCATAAAACGCAGTCAAAAAGGACTTCGTTTAATTAGTGATATGTAAAGACTTTTGCATAGAAAAAAGGTTAACAAAGTAATGCATAAAAGACCGACTAGGTACAGTATTTTTAAAACAAATATTTTAAAGTATATTTTGCATAATGTTTAACATTCTCAATGCTTATTGCTTTCTCCACACAGCAGAGAAATCAAGTGCATAATAATACATGCTGTGTTTTATTTTTTTTAATTTTTTTTTTTTACATAAAATCTCTAGTTCTTGACTGGATGTATTAAAATACTTACGTTATTTTAAGTCACTGTAATAAAAAATGAAAGCAAACCATTTTATGCAGCACTAGTTGTCTGGGTATTGACAAAATAATTTACTGACATACCCTTTAATACATTCATTTTGGTTTGGAATCAAACCCACATTACAATGTTGGCGTGTTAATAGCCAATTTAAAAATTGTCCCTACCGTAACTTCATTCATACCCAGAGTGATCGTTCTCCCTGTAGTGACAGTGAAAAAAAGAGGGATCTCGCACAGAATTGCCTAAATGTCCAAATACAGCTAAATAAGTTAATTTGAACTTTTGCAACACTGAGTCTCTTGTATTGGCATGAATCACCTGCATCCAAGTGTGCACACTTTACATAGGTTGTTACTTCTGGGTTCATGACAAATTCACTGTTTGTGCAGATACGAGCTAGCACCATCTTTAAGCTGTAGGAAAGGATGCCTCAAGGCTCACAGGCAGTGCTGAAATGTTCATTAATCCCAGCACTGATAAGATAATTGCTTTTACCAACGCTATGCTAGATGTCACAATTTGGCAAGTCTGTACAAAGAAAGTGAACTAAGGAAGCGAGAGCTAGCCCCGTCACATTGAGCAGTCTTCCTCTGCAATCTTTTGGCTTCTTCCCTTCCCTGGAAAGATCAAGTCCTGAAGTTGGATGCAGGATTTCCCCTCTCTCCCACACCATTTCTATACCTGTGCAATGTTATTTGTTTTAGCAGAATGCATGTATACATAATTTTTTTATTATTATTTTTTCAGTGTCAGGCACTTAGGAAACTCAAACTCTTTTTATAGCCTGGGGAGAACGCGGTAGGTGTGATCCTTCTCCCTGGAAAGATCAAGTCCTGAAGTTGGATGCAGGATTTCCCCTCTCTCCCACACCATTTCTATACCTGTGCAATGTTATTTGTTTTAGCAGAATGCATGTATACATAATTTTTTTATTATTATTTTTTCAGTGTCAGGCACTTAGGAAACTCAAACTCTTTTTATAGCCTGGGGAGAACGCGGTAGGTGTGATCCTTCACCTCTCTGCCAAACAAGAATGCATAGCTGGAGAATTAGTAGTACTAGTGTCTACCTATTGCCCGGGAAAGCTCTACATGCCAACAGGGCCACGCTGTTTCTGGAAGCCGCTGTTGCTCCCTCAGGGTGCCTCCAACGAAACAAACCAAGGAGAAGACACTATCCCATGTCCTCTCTGACGCCTGAAACGAGGATAGCTGTGCCATCCCTCAGCGGGCTTGCTGGCACCTCTCAGGCCCTTTAGGTGAAGGCTCAGTTGGGCTGAGCGGGAAGGATGTGCCGAGTCCCGCAGGCTTGGGTGTGGGTGTGGGTGGGTTGCGTGTGCACACGCGCGTGAGCTGAGGGAGAGGAGGGAGCAGACCGGGAAGGGAGAAGGGGGGACTTAAAAGGCTCCAACTTCAGTCCCCCAGGGTCGATAGGGTTTAGTGCTGCTCCCGTTGCCAGCCTGCTGAGGGCTGGCGGTGGCTGATACTGCCAAGGGAGGGGTGATGGCCGTCGCTGCAGCCACGGCGGCGGGGGCCCCGGCG